GGTCCTAAAATGAATCATGTGTGTAACCGTTGCAATAAGTAAGCAGGATTATAGAACTCAATTCACAAAGAAATTTTATTTTTGTCCCCAACTGTCCCTTGAAATCCACTTTGTGGGACTAGTGCATTTGCTAACTATAGAAGAAAACTCAGGTCTCCACAACTTCTCTCGTCAATTTTATTTAATAACTAGAAGCCCAGTGTATGATGTTCGTACACTTGGGGAGGACTCTCGCAGTCCGGGAGCCCTGGGGACATGGGGAGTGGGTCTAAGCCAGCAGTTGGACATCCTTAGTGCTGCCACGGAGGCGAGAGAGGCTCCTGCCACCACCGCCACCACCGCGCTCACCAGCCGTGAGCCTGGCTTCTGGCTGAGCAGGGCTCCCCCTGTGGGAGCCCACCAACCACCAGGGGGCAGCTCCTGCATTGAGCGCCTTCCCCCTGGTGGTCAGTGCACATCATAGCAACCAGTCATTCCGCTGTTGGGCCAAAACGGGCTCTCCAACATCCCCTGAGGGGTCCTGGATTGTGAGAGGGCGCAGGCCAGGCCGAGGGACCCCACCGGTGCATGATCAGGGCCTGGGAGGGATGCAGGAGGTTGGCCAGCTGGAGGGACTGTGGGAAGACTCTAGGGCAGTGGTTCTCAACCTTCCTAATGCCATGACCCTTTAATACAGTTCCTCATGCTGTGGTGACCCCTAATTTCATTGTTAAAAATTGAACATAATTAAAGCATAGTGATTAATACAAAAACAATATGTAACTATATGTGTGTTTTCTGATGGTCTTAGGTGACCCCTGTGAAAGGGTCGTTTGACCCCCAAAGGGGTTTCGACCCACAAGTTGAGAACTGCTGCTCTAGGGTGTGTCCAACCTATCTTGCTCAGTCCCGACTGGCTGGACCCCAGCACCAAGCTAACCTATGGGTCGAAGCATCTGCCCCCTGGTGGTCAGTGCACATCACAGCGACTGGTTGACTGCCCCCTTGTGGTCAGTGCACATCATAGCAGCATATTAGGCTTTTATAATATAGGACTAGTGCCCCAGTGCACGAACTCGGGGGCGGGGGGGGGGGGATGTCCCTCAGCCCAGCCTGCACCCTCTCCAATTTGGGACCACTGGCTCCTAACTGCTCACCTGCCTGCCGGCTTGATCGCCCCTAACCACTCTGCCTGCTGGCCTGCTCGCCCCCAACTGCCCCCCCCTTGCTGGCCTTCTTGCCCCCAACTGCCCCCCCTCCGCCGGCCTGATTGCCCTGAACTTTCCCCCCTTCGCCAGCCTGCTCACCCCCAACTGGCCCCCTTCGCCAGCCTGCTCACCCCCAGCTGCCCCCCACCCTTGCCGGCCTGCTCGCCCCGCTAGCCTGATCACCCCCAACTATCCCCCACTGCAAGTCTGATTGCTCTAACTGCGCCCCCACCCCCCACCCCTCACCCCCCCGCCGGCCTGATCGCCCCTAACCGCCACTGCCTCAGCCCCACCACCATGACTTTGTCCAGAAGGATGTCCGGAAGGTCTCCTGGTCTAATTAGCATATTACCCTTTTATTAGCATAGATAATAGTAATAGTAACACCACTACTAATAAAGTCCCATAGTCACCCTAAAGGTGCAAAACAGTTTCAATTCAGAAATTTAAATGTCCAATCCCATGTTATAATCAAAAGAATTTATCATTTGAAGTTAAGGCTTTCTTGGGGGCTGCTGCAGGCAGGAAGCCAGCATTGTTTAAGATTCAGGGCAGTGGGAGTGAGGAAAGGAAGGAGAAGCAAGAGAAAATCCTTACTTGAGGTGTTGTGGTGACTGGGCACTGGCTGGGCAAGACTTTCATTACTTTCTCATGTAGGCTCTCCAGCATCCTGAGCAGCTCATTCTCTCCCAGGCGTCTCTCAGGGGTGGTACTTACCCCGACTCTTTATTTCCTGCTTCTTCCTCAGCACTGCATGTCAGAAGTCCACCTCCTTGAGGAGCCAGACCCGTCTCTTGGTCACTCTGAGATGACCCATGATGGTTCTCCTGCATGCAGCTCACAACTGGTCCATGGGAGGCAAGCATACATCCCCTGCCCCGACAAACTCTAGGAATAGGAACAGAGGCTGCGTCCAACTCAGCCACCTTTCCATGGCTCCATCGTCAAAGCACCTAGCCAGCCACTGGCATTTCATTCTTTAGATTTTCCCAGGCACGGGGTCTAGTCCACCTGATCACCACCCTACAAGGGACACACAGTAGCCTCCATGGAGGCCCCTTCCCTAGCCTTGAGGTAAGAGGCAGGGGCATCTACTGCTCTCCCTTAAGAGACTCAAAACACACAAATGGATCACTTCAAAGAAATCCCCACCAAAAACCCTCTTCTTTCAACTCTAACTCCTCTTTTATACCCTTAATGTGGATGACAAGTTTAGGGCTGTTACAGGTTTTTTACCATCTCCATTATAAAAACAGCATACGGTATAGGTATTGTGGTATCTTCCAAAAAACATAGATTTTAACTTTATTACCAAGCCCGGCCGGCATGGCTCAAAAGTTGAGTGTCAACCTATGAGCCAGGAGGTCTCAGTTCAATTCCTGATCAGGGCACATGTCTGGGTTGTGGGCTCAATCCCCAGTAGAGAGGGCGTACTGAAGGCAGCCGATCAACAATTCCCTGTCATTATTGATGTTTCTTTCTCTCCCTCTCTCTCTGAAATAAAAATGTATTTTTAAAAATACCTACATTCATTGTTGAATGTATAACAGCTACCACTGAGTCCCTAACTTGTCCCTGGCCATGGCACTAGGCCCTTTTTACAAACATCTCATTTAAAGTTTATAGGTATATTGTTTGTTAACTATTTTATCATTTTCATAACTGAGGATTGATAACTGGCATTTAAAAATCTGTGGCGTGGCCGAGGCCGGTTTGGCTCAGTGGATAGAGCATCGGCCTGCGGACTGAAGGGTCCCAGGTTCGATTCCAGTCAAGGGCATGTACCTGGGTTGCGGGCACATCCCCAGTAGGAGGTGTGCAGGAGGCAGCTGATCGATGTTTCTCTCTCATCGATGTTTCTGACTCTCTATCTCTCTCCCTTCTTCTCTGTAAAAAATCAATAAAATATATTTAAAAAAAAAATCTGTGGAGTGCATGTTAATAAGATTTTCAGTAGGAAAAATTATTCTGAAAGCCTAGTCATAGAACTTCAGATCTGGAAAGCGCTCCCGAGGTTGTTTTGTCAACCTCATTCATTTCCTTAAGAAGCTGCAGAGGTCCCGAAAGGCTTGAATTGAGGGACTGCCCACGGTCATCACAGTGAGATGAGACGTGGGTTATCACTAGCCACAGCTGCCTCTTATTCATAAAAACATATTAAATTCTGATTTATACTGTTAATTTTAATATTTTTCAAACCAGTGGTAGAAATGAATTTTTAATGCAAACTATTTCAGAGTCTAAAAAATTGAACAAACTGGGCTTCCAACACCACATAGAGCTGTATGAATCCCAATTTACTATACGGGAGAATGGATTCTTAATTGAATCTGTGCCTTAGAGTGGGAGAGTAATTTTTAAATGGAAAATCCTGTGGAGGTGGTGATGCGAATGAGTTGAGTCCAAGAGAAAGTAAGATAGCAAACCAGGCCGGAAAATAGCTTTTTCTTAAAGATCTGAAGGAAACCAAATGCAGATTGTTTGTGCTCAGACACTGATTACGCCATCCTCCCAGTCTTGGCAGGTGTTTGTGTTCGGATCCTTTTAGCTGATGATCTCCAGGGTTTCATAAATCCTCTTTCCATACATTAGCACTATGGTGACAGTATTCTTTTAACAAATATGGGAACCTAAGACATGCCATTCAGCGTTGCATTCTTCTCATGCAACCCAACAATCAAGCTTTTAGGGTTGGCAGGGAGCCTAGAAATAACTGAGTCCAATACCACATTCAAAGATAAGAAAACTGAGGCCCAGAGAAAGAAACACCTGTCCCGGGAAGGTCACACAGTTAATGGCTCTAATCACAAAAGTTAAGCATTTTGACAGATACATGAACTCTTGGGTAGTCCCACCTTCAGCTCTGTGGACTTCAGAGTCACATTTTGTAGCGTGAAGTGCTAATTAAACCAGAGGAATTATGGACTTACTATTTATAGGAAGGAGTGAAGACATTACGTAGGCCATGAAACCTGGGACACAGAAGGAGTTCTTGTCTCCTGAGATCCACATATTACATTGAACGTTTGTATTTTAAGACAGAAGGTGGGTAATGCAGCCTCAACTCTCCTGATTCGGGACCTCGGCTTGAGTTGCATTTAGTCTTGAAGGACCAGCTATTGCAGTTTTCTGTATCATGAGATAAATGAGTAACCCTACTCCTTCAGGCAAATGCTGCCCTCACCCAGTGGAAAGGTTAAAACCATCTTTCCCAACACCAATCACTTCAAAAGGAATGATTTCAAAATATTTTTCTATTATTTTGAGTTTTAACAATAATACTTAGTCAACACGCTTCACTGAATTTAAAAGTGAAAAGGAGAAAGGAAACCCACAAAGATGTTTTTAAAGGCATACCACTCAGGTTTGAATTATCTTGACTTTTTCCTCTCGCTGTTCAGAATGGCTTTCACTGTATTGCCAAAATCAAATATATCTCTCAGGAGGCCTAGTGGTGCAAACAAAAGCGCTGAAATCAAAGAATTTGCAAGTTTTAATCTGTCAGAGACTATGGTACTGGGGAGAAAGTCACTTAACTTCTCTCCATCAGTTCCCACGTCTGTGCAATGAGGATAAAACTGTGGAGGTACCTCTCCTGGGTACTGTGTGGGTTGGCTAATTAAAGCTAATTAAGCCCCTGGAAAATACTATGTAAGTGCTGGGTATTTATGTGCCACTAAGACCCACAAAAACTCCACAGGGACAAGATTCTGTGCAGACAGCACAATCTCTATTGGTGATTACTAATTACCCACTGCTTACAAAGAGAGCCCTGTGTTCTGCAAAAGGGTAGGGAAAGGAAACAGCACACAATGTCATTCAACAACACCATCTTTATTCAAAAATATATATCTATGAGACATTTCAGAATATACTGCTGCCACCAAAGACAGCCTATACTTCTAAATAAAGTCCTAAATTAATATACAAATTTAAGCTTTAAAAATATTCTTTAAGAAAAAAGGGGGGGGGGGAGAACAAAAACTTTCTGAGGAATATGACCTAAAGGAAAGGTCCTTTAAGGTCTATGGATGCCCTAAGTAAAGAAGAAAAAACACAAAACACAAACTACCCACCCCACCCTGCCAGATCCTTAAATTAAACAAATGAAGTAAAGCACACTTGGGGAGGATATGGGAGAATTAGATTTAAAAAAAACAAAAGCATTTCATTAAAACAACAACAAAAAATACCAAAACTAACTTCCTCACAGGAAGTCCACTAGTAGTAACAGGTGTTAAGAGGCCATCATATTCATTTACATAATTGCTAGTTTCATTTCTTGCTCTTGCTGCAATAATTATGCACCAATGGCTGGTTAGATGCAATCAGATAAAACATCACAGTGGGCAAGATTCATTCTGTTATAACATTTCATCTAGCTGATCAGAGCAAATATCTACCATACCCTTTTTCTGGGTTGATTTGTGGCTAGTAAAATTTTCCTTCCTTGATGAAAACATACAGAATGTCCAAGGATCTGTTCAGAAACATGCTCTTAGGTAGAACTAAAGCAGCACACCACATGGGGAGAGGCATATGTGCAGAAAGAGCAAAGACTCGAATTCACCTTGCAATTTTAGTAAAGTCACCCACTGCCCTACGGCCTCTGGGAGAAAATTTTATATATAGACTCATTATTTAATCTTGACAGGACAACAGGCAGTGTTCAACACAGTCCATATTCTAATCTGAAAATAGCTTAAATGCTACTAGGTTCTACACAGAGTTAAACTGAAAGCCTGCTATGACTTTTCACTGTTTTCACTTTTGGCAGGCAGGAGGGCTCCTTTAAGAAAAACCTGCTATACTTTAAAAACATAGGTTATATTTTAACATGTAAAATTACATGTAATTGGCTTTTTGGTAATCCTCAGAATAATGGAGAATCTGAAACCCCCTCCACTGGATCCCATTTTATAGCTTTGGGATTTCAACCTCTGGGCTATAATTCCTATTACACTATTGGGGCAAATTGTTTTCTGCCCTTTCCAATGTCTAAAATAAGCCTGCCAAAACAGAATGATTTATAGTTAACAGGCCTAATCTTTACTAAAAAGCAAGTAATGTCAGATGGCATGATAATAGAATTAAAACCCAAAATTAATATCCCAAACTTTCCCCCTTCCCCTGCCCAAGATGAGCTATTCAGTAACATCTGACACAAAGTACTCCTGGGCACAGGGACACGTGCAATGATGTGGCTGACGGACAGATGAGCATGTACGGTGTCATATTTGCAAGGGAGATAAGCAAGTGCAGTCACCATCCTGAGGATATATGCCCACACAGTGAATTGTTAGTGTGTGCCCTACTCCCCAAAAGAAAGGGTCAAAGCAGCACCCACACAGAACCCAGGCTCTCAGCATGCCTTTAGCTTTCCGGCCCACCACTGCCATTGCTAACAAGCACCTTCACAGTCAACTGGGGTCAGAAGGCTGTTTTAGGAAGGAGTTCTATGACGCTGGGTAGATCCTTGAAAAGGGCAGCCTGTTTGTAGGAACCTGAAGCAAAGTACTTATTTTAAACTCATCCTTGTAATTCCTGTCACTCTGTCTCTGAACTATGATTTTATGTCCCAGATCAGCTCCTAATCTTCTTGCTAGATTCTCTAGTCTGCTTACAAAACAAATGCACCCAACCATTGACTATACATCGCCAGAAGTAATAGTAGGGGAGAATCAGAGATTTAGCAAACTCCTTATGGCAAAGCTGCTCGACAGTTGTGCCTCCCTTTGGGGTTGACAGAGTCAGGAAAGCCAATGACTCCAGGTTGAATTCCTCAGTGGAAGCCTGTACTGAACTTGAACGAGCCCAGCTCAGACCGAAGCTGCTTTCATGACACAATGCTATCATCAAGGACAAGATTCTTCTGAAAGCTTCCAGAAGTACACATGATTTTCATAACTTCTTCAGTATAAAGTGAGAGCTAAGAATGGAAAACTAACAGGGGCATAAAAACACAAAGTGGGAGAGTTTGTATTCTTTCCAAATATCAATCTAAACTGGATTCCACTCACCACTGTTCTGAATTGTGCTCAACAGGAGAGGCTGGAGAGGAGAACCAGAGTTGTGGTTCTTTCTGGAGGCTGGGGGCCAGGCGGAAGGAGGGATAGAACCAGGGGCTACAAGGTTATTTCCAACCATGACTTGCCCTCTTCTTTCTGCTGGTAGAGATGGGAATCTGGGGCATGGCACCTGCCCTAGTCAGTAGAAAAGAGGTCACCAGCAGAGGGCAGGGGGGCCAAGCCCCCTGTGACATTGGGCAGCAATGAGAGGTCTGGCAAACTCTGAATATGGGACTTCAGTTCCTTGCGGACCTGGGTTACCCGAGCAAGCTTCTGTTTATATTCCTAAGGAAACAAAGAGAAGACAATGCAGTAAGTCTTTGCGTGCTGGCGGCCAAGTTTAAGGACCCAATACAGATACTCTCACCCTCTTTTCCTACATTCTCCCCACCAGATCGCCCCTGCCCTATTCAGCTAAAGGACAATGCTAGGTTTTCAAACTCTATAAAACTTTATATAAAAAAGGAAAGCAGAATTCAATACTGGCAACAACATGAAATGGTATCACTTAGCACTTGAGATTTGAAAGTAAAAAGAAGTGACATTTTTGTATTTACAGTGTCTTTTATTTGGTTCTTAGCTATTTCAAAATGCCTTATAAAATACAGATGCTTAGGATTTACAATTATTTTGAAGGCTATACCTAGACATGGACAGAAAAATCACTATAAAACTATACTTTGTGCGTTAAAGTTGGACATTAAACCAGATTTATCATTTTTGCAGACAATGACTACACAAACTCAAAATACCCAATGCCACTACCTGTGCTTATTCCATTCCCAAGTAACTGAACAAGTCCCTGATGAGGTTTCTAGTCTAAATAGGCCAGACTTATCCTCCAAAAGCCTAGCTTTCATCAAGTCACCCCTCTGAGAAAATGAAGCACGGCACCACACTGTTTCCACGACTCTCAGAGCTCAAGGTCTTCTAAAATGAGCTCCTGCCAACTGTATTTCTTACAACTTCCCAACCCCCTAGGCCAGTGGTCGGCAAATTGCAGCCCCTTGAGTGTGGCTCTTCCACAAAATACCACGTGCGGGCGGGCACATACAGTGCGATTGAAACTTCGTGGCCACACTCAAGGGGCCAAAGAGCCTCATGTGGCTCGCGAGCCGCAGTTTGCCAACCACTGCCCTAGGCACACGCCACTGCCTGTATGGCCATTTGTTCAGGATTCTACTCAAGCCTAGAGGGGAACACAATCTAGACACGGATCTTTCTTCTCCTGGTCCCAGCAAGGCCCAGCCTCCACTCCTCTGTCTACCTGCTGAGTTCCACCTCTCTAGGGAAATCTTTCCTCCTCATCCAGGAGACTGGTCTGCACCTCTGCCTGCTCTGGAACCCTCCTGTGCACAGAGCATGCATCTAGGCCCCTTAACAGCCTGCTCTTAGGCACTCTCTCCATTCATGTTAGACTTCCATGTTCCTCTAAACCAACAGTAGCCAATTGGTGGCCCGTGGACCACTGGTGGTCCGTGAGGTCTGAAAAGTTGGCGACCACTGCTCTAAATGACGACTCCCTTGATAATGGGAACTGAGTATACCACTTTGCCTCCTCAGCTCCCAGTTAAAGGTTCTCTTGGTAAATCTGTATGGAATAACCCACCAGGTCATGTGAGGTCTGTGGTTTACAGCCCCCTTAGGGCTTGTCTTTTTTCCTCTAGTTGTGCCAGCCTCCTTAGTGTTTCTGCAAGGACAAGGATGTTTCTGAGACTGGGTCTTTGCTGACTAATGCCTCTCCTGCAGGAACACAAGAGAAAGCACTGGGCTAAGACTCAGAGACCTGGGTTTAGTTTTGCCTCTGACTCTAACTATCTATGTGACTGGGGACAAGTTTCCTCTCTTCCTTCATCCTCACCTTTCTTATCTGAAAATGAAAGAACTGGACCACCCACAGATCTTTCTTCAAGTTCTAGATCCCTTCATGCCAACACCTCATGAACACTTGGAGAGGCAGAGGGTTTGAGGGCATAAGCACGCTTGGGAAGAGTGATAAGACAGGAAATAAGTTGAAAGAAGGACACTTAGTTCAAGTTGTAAAAATGAAGTCCAAGCAAGGAGTGGAAGAGGGGAATCAGGGATGCAGGCAGGGAGGGTCTGCCCCCACATTCCCATAGGCAGTCAGCCTTCCCCTGAAATAACGGTTCTCACACAGGCCATCAAATGGAGAGACTGGGAAAGAAAGTAAGCGCTCTTGGCACTTTTTTTTTTTTTTTTGTAGAATTAATACAACTATAACCACGACACATAAATACTTAATAATGAGCCCCTCATCAAACTTGTAAGCTTCAGGAGGCAAGAACCAGATGCATCTGCTTTCTCCCAGCATCCACCATGCCCAGCAGGACTCTGAACGGTAGGTGTGCGACACCATTGCCCAAAGAAATAATGGTATATAAAACATAATATTATGAGCAAGTACACAATATTAATCAGCTTTAAGTCTTGAAACTAAAGACTAATTTCAAATGTGAGGATCTAAAATGTCAAGTTCCCCGTCCTTGCCTCTACAAACATTTTTCTTCATTGGTTTTACATACTTCAAAGGAAATCAATAGAAGATCCACTCTATTACTGGACATGGATTCATTTAATTAACTTCTCCTGAATTCTAGGTAGAAAAAGGGTAAAATACTTACTCCCTGCTCAAATCCTCTGACCAAAGCTGACAAATAAAAGCCGCTTCGATTTGAAGCCATGAACTCCTGGCAGCTATAGAGCACTTCATTTGAAGGAATTCCTCAAGAACAGTTGAATGTCACTGAGTCTCTAGTGAGCTAAGCTGGGACTAGAATCCAAGACTCCTCACTCTTGGGTGATCCTCAGACTGATTTAGCAAATCCATCTGAGGTTAAAAGGAAAGACAGTTGATCTGATCAGGTACCACCTTAAGTTCAAATAACTCTCTCCCAGGCAATCTTTAAAACAAACAAAAATATCATTTGCTCCTTTTTGGGGTGGAGTGTTATAATTAGATGCTACTATATCCTAGATATCATAAAAAAAAACACCTTCATTTTAATAAAAAGAAACATGTTCCACATTAAAGTCCTCTCGTTAGGCCACTCTGAAAGCTGATGGATCCTGCCCATACCTCCTCATGCTACCAGTTATTCTTCCCCTAGTGATTTCTACTTTAGAGCAGATGCATGAGCCTAGGAATAGGGCATTACTAGAAAAGAATGGGATTGAAAAATACAGAACTGCAAGAAACAAGGTTAATATACAAAAGTCTATCGCTTTACTATATACCAGCAATAAACAAGTGAAATTTGAAATTAAAACACAGTATTTATTAGCACCCAAAACAATGAAAAACTTAGTTATAAATCTAATAAAATATGTACAAGATTTTCTGAGAAAAATACAAAACTCTGATGAACAAACAAAGAACTAAGTAATTGAAGAGGAATTCTATGTTTATGGCTAGAAATGTGGTAGACAGACAGACATGAGGAGAGCAATGACAAAGGGCCAGTACAGAAGGTCATTTAGGTGTAAAGTCCCAGATGCCTAGCTAGGGACAACTGTATGGTGGAACCTTGCCCCCCCAGGGTGACCTTTCCTCCCCTAGCATATCCCTGGTCATGTGATTTGAGACCCCTGACCTTTCCTCCCTAGAGATAACATCTAAGTCTCAGTTGTAGTTGGGCTCCAGGCCCAAAGGAGCAGCAAAACCAAACAAGCGACGCTATGGCTGACCTCAGACCAGCTGCACTGACTAATGACCTTCTGCCCTGGCACTGACCAAGAAATCAGTGGAGACCCAGACCCTGAAAGAAGACACCTGGAAAGCTGCTGAATATTATAATGAGATCTTCACCTGGGACCTCCCCTAAAATCTTCACCCTTAAAACCATTAGGACTTTCCCTTACCCACCCCAGGCACGTTAGCATTACTTCCCTCACTCCAAGCTCCAAGGGCCCTTCTCTTTCCTCTATAACTTGTTTCCTAAGCCCATTTCTTCTAGGAATTACTTTTTCTACCCCTGTGATTTTATAAATACATGTTCTCTTATAGTTTGACAAATAAAAGCTGCAGGGTCTTGACTCTGAATTCTTTCCTAGCCAGAACTCAAGTACCGAGGTTGCTGAACCCAGGCCCATTGGTGAACCTGGTGCCATTCCTGCTGCCTACAGCAGGAAGACTCAATACTGTTATGATGTGAGTTCTTCCCAACTTTATCTATAGATCCAATCAAATCAATGCAATCCCAATCAAAATCACAGCAAGTTCTTTTGTGGAGATAGACAAACTGATTCTAAAGTTAATTTGGAAAGGGGAAAGTTTCAGAATAGCCAAAACAAGATTGAAAAGAACAAAGTCAGACCTACCTGACTCCAAGACTTACTATAAAGATACAGTAATCAAGACAATGTGGTACTGGCAAAAAAACCAAATAGATTAATGCAACAGAATGGAGAGCCCAGAAACAGGCCCATATAGTCAACTGATCTTTGACAAAGAAACAGAAACAATACAGTGAAAAAAAGACAGTATTCTTAAGAAATGGTGCTGGAACCATGCAAAAAAAACAAAACAAATCTAGACATGAGTTTTACATCCTTTATAAATATTCATTCAAAATGGATTACAGATTAAAATGTAAAAGCACAAAACTATAAAACTCCTAGAAGATAACACAGGAGAAAATCTAGATGATCTTTAATTTGGTGAAGACTTTTAGATACAACACCACAGGCAGGACCCATGAAAGAACTAATAAACTGGACTTCATTAAAATGAAAAAAAATTCCTGCTCTATGAAAGACACTGTCAAGAGAATGAAAATGTTTGCAAAAGACATTAGGGAAATGCAAATTAAAACAACAATGAGATATTACCACATACCTATTAGAATTGCCAAAATCCAGAATACTAATAACAGCAAATGCTGATAAGGATGTGGAGCGACAGGAACTCCATTATGTTGCTGGTGAGAATGCAAAATAGTACAGCTACTTTGGAAGACCAGTCTGGCAGTCTCTCACAAAACTAAACATACACTTACCATAGGATCCAGCAATTACACTCATTGGTATTTATGCAAAGGACCTGAAAACTTATGTCCACACAAAAAACTGCACATGAATATATTTATAGCAGCATTACTCATAACTGTTAAAAGCAAACAAGATGTCCTCCAGTAGGTGAATGAATAAACAAATTTTGGTATATCCAAACAACAGAATATTATTCAACACTAAAAAGAAATGAGCTATCAAGCCATGAAAAGACATGGAAGAACCTTAAAAACACAAGACTAAGTGAAAGAAGCCAA